GTTAATATGGATGACTCTCAGCTCTAAGCCAACAGAACCAAACTTCACTTGGAGTCATGGTACTCTGAAATAGCAAGGCACAAAGAGTAAACCAGCAGCCAAATTCTGTTCAACATTCTCTGTCACAAAATCTCTGGCCAGTGTGGCTCTGTGCCAGTTACCAAGGAAAGTAGAAAAAGAAATAAAAATCACATTTTAAAATAGGTGAGCAAAATATAACGTAGCCTGTAGGATTAAAATGAAAATGCAAAAGTTCAGCTGTGGGAGCCAAGAAAATATGAGCTTATGGAATAAATCTTAAACACTTTCTGTCATTTAATATGTTAAGGTTGCTTCTTCCTCACAGACAAACTGCTGTCGGAAACAGGGATCAAGTTATGACCACTGCAGGACTTAGAGGTCTTAAATCTTAACCAAGTCCTTATTCACATCAGAGTGTGGCGGTTGTGTGGCTATGACTGTCAGAGATAGAAATTGGAAAGTGTAAGTTGCTAAAGAGACTGACCTCAGAAGAATCTCCTTATCTGAGTGTATCACCTTTGCAGGTCCTGATACTGTAAGGACAATCTGGGATACAACACATTGAGCTTGGATCTATATGGTGTGAGGAAAAGGTTTTGAGAATAGAATATAGCATTGCACATCGTATCAGGCTATTTGTCTTCATGAAAACCTGCCTGTCAGCCCTTGTGGGCCCTAGTATAGCCTTCTACCCTCTAGCACGTTTTAGTCATTGGGAACACTGACTACTCATTCTCTCTCCTGTGGCTATTGTTGCTTGATGTAAATCATCTCCACAACCACAAGACCCACCAGCTTTACCCTCTTCCTCTTCCTCAAGTTCCTAAACACCCAACTGTTCCATTAGCCTGAATCAGCTGTTTGCTAACTGAGCAGCTGGGAACATCTGGGAGTGGGTCTGGGGGAACACCTAAGCGAGTGAACTGTGCACCAAGCTTTTTCTGCCCTGAATGCCCCCAACTCTTAAGGGTAGCAAAAGAGGATTCTAAAGTCAACTTTTGAAAATATTGACTAAAACAAAGTTAACCATTTTTTTCTTCTCTTAGCACATCTCACAGTCTCTGATAGTTCCAAAACCATTATGAATTTCCAAGAAAGGGATATAATATGTAGTGTTTTCCAATCTCTATCCTCCCCCCTGCCAAAACCTCAAAAAACAAAAACATTGAGAGAGACCGATTTAAGGCACTTCTGTATAATTGCAGTCAGAAGTCATGTGTGGTAACTTACTTGTACCCCTCATGTCTCTTGTGATTTTCTCTCTAATTTTAGAGTTGGATGAGATAGAGACCGTTTTATTCTTTTAGTGGCTGTTGTAAGAATCCCTAATCCTTTTCGGATGAGGGTTGAGATGAGAAGCAGGGAACCCACCCTGTGCTTTATGATGGGTGGCCTGTGAGGCCTTTGTTTTCTTGAACTCCTTATGGATTTGGACATGTTAATTTGGAGGTAGAAGCAGGACACAGCTAAATTGCTTTAATAACAAAAATATGTGAAATTTGAAGTTCCCAGGGAAATTTCAGGAAGGAGAGAGAAGTCAGTCAGACTAAATGCTGCGTGGGAAAAAGATTAGAGAGGGAAAAGAAAACAAACAAACAAACAAGCTAATGGTAGCCCTGCTGAAATGAAGCTTTTGGGGGAGAATAGACATGTCTAATGGGAAATTTTAAGCTGTTTGTTATCAGGGATGCAGCATGAACCTCCCCTCTTGTTTCCACTGTGACATCTTCAGTGATGTTTCTGTGGCCCACAGTGCCTGAGTGTGAGTGGATTTGCTGCAGAGGTGGCACAGTGGTGGAAAGGATAGAGCTGGCCAAGGGCACGGATGTCTGGATACCACTGATGCTGATACTCGTGTCTCATCAACTCCGCTAGGCTGTAAGCATGTGTTTATTGAATGAATGAAAAAACAAACGAATGGATATCTAAGCCTACGCAGCAGGTCAGAGTTTCTCTTTAACGGAGAACAGACGAGACTGCAGCCGTTAATACAACAGATTACCACATCAAGCATTAATATGACCGATTAGTAAGTAAAGCAGGAACAGAGTATGGGCTTGATGTGTATTTGTGGAGGTAACCAATCACTGAATCAGAGAAAAAGGTGCTGTTCTCTTGGTTGTAAGCAAGTTCTTCCATGCAGAAATAACTAAAGCTTAAATCCCTGCCATGCGAACACTACTTTGATTATAAATACGTGGCCTTCTAGATTCCAAACCAAGGTCTCTTCCCTTTCTTCGGAATAAGGAGACAGTGGTGAAATACAAAGATATCACACCTCTCTGTTTTCCGTTAGACATGAACACTGTCTCACATGTGATTATTATTATTATTTTTTTTGAAACGGAGTCTCGCTCTATTGCCCAGGCTGGAGTGTAGTGACACAATCTTCGCTCACTGCAAACTCCACCTCCTGGATTCAAGCGATTCTCCTGCCTCAGCCTCCCGAGTAGCTGGGATTACAGGTGCCCGCCACCACACCCAGCTAATGTTTTGTATTTTTAGTAGAGATGGGGTTTTGCCATGTTGGCCAGGCTGACCTCAAACTCCTGACCTCAGGTAATCTGCCTGCCTCAGCCTCCCAAAATGCTGGGATTACAGGCATGAGCCACCATGCTCCAGCATCACGTGTGATTTTATAAATACGTTGTAACAAACAAGTATTCTGAGCTTCACCACATTGTGTTTGTAGATAGCATACATCTTGGGTTCTCCATAACATTTCAAGGTTCAGATATAACTAGATCATGTCTCTTTTGGGGATTGAAAAAGACTATCACAGAGGCTTCATTTCCCCTATATGCCTCTCTTTCTTGAAAGCCAAGATTGTACAGGCACGGTGGCTCATGCCTGTAGTCCCAGCACTTTGGGAGGCCGAGTCAGGCGGATCACCTGAGGTCAGGAGTTCGAGACTGGCCTGCCCAACATGGTGAAACCCCATCTCTACTAAAAATACAAAGAATTAGCTGGGCATGGTAGCAGGCGCATGTAATCCCAGTTACTTGGGAGGCTGAGTCAGGAGAATCGCTTGAACCCAGGAGGCAGAGGTTGCAGTGAGCCGAGATTGCACCACTGCACTCCAGCCTGGGCGACAAGAGAAAAATTCTGTCTCAAAAAGAAAATCAAGATAAGGGACCATGACTTACTCACCTCTGAAGCCACAGCCTGGCAGTCTCTGCCATGGTGAGTGCTAAGAACATGCCTTTGAGCTGAGCTGCCTGTGAGAGAAAGCTGTGTGCTGGGGCAGTAATGGACCCAGTCAGACAGGGTACCCTGGAAAGGCCTGGCTTTGGCACCTCTTACTTGTCATCAGAAAGTATTGACTGGGCCCAGTGGCTCACGCCTGTAATCCCAGCACTTTGGGAGGCCGAGGTGGGTGGGTCACCTAAGGTCAGGAGTTTGAGACCAGCCTAATATGGTGAAACCTTGTCTCTACTGAAATTACAAAAATTAGCCAGGTGTAGTGGCAGGCGCCTGTAATCCCAGCTCCTCCGGAGGCTGAGGCAGGAGAATCGCTTGAACCCAGGAGGCAGAGGTTGCAGTGAACCAAGATCGCGCCACTGCACTCCAGCCTGAGCGACAGAGCAAGATTCCATCTCAAAAATAAAGAAAAAAGTGTTCCTCCTGGACAGTAGACACTGGGGCCTACTTGAGGGTGGAGGGTGAGAGGAGGATGGGGATTGGAAAACTGCCTGTTGGGTACTATGCTCACTACCCGGGTGATGAAATAATCTGTCCACCAAACCCTGCAACACACAATTTACCCATGTAACAGACATGCACGTGTACCCCCTGAAGCTAAAATAAAATTTGGAAAGAAAAAAAAAGTGTCCTTTAGTTGTGCAATTAATAGGAAATTGTGTCTGCACAGTGCTTGCCCCTCCTAGACCTTTACCTGGCAGAACTGTAAGTGAGCAGTTCTTTATAGATGCAATAAGGAATCTCGTGTCTACTTTAGGAATGAGATTTTAGGTCTTTTGGTAGAAAGGTTGGGTGATAAAACATCTCTCTCTCTCTCTCTCTTTTTTTTTTTTTGGAGATGGGGTTTCATTCTTGTTGCCCAGGCTGGAGTTCAATGGCATGATCTTGGCTCACTGCAACCTCAGCCTCCCAGGTTCAAGCGATTCTCCTACCTCAGCCTTTCAAGTAGCTGGGATTACAGGCATGTGCCACATCTGGCTAATTTTGTATTTTTAGGAGAGATGGGGTTTCACCATGTTGGCCAGGCTGGTCTCGAACTCCTGACCTCAGGTGATCCGCCCACCTCAGCCTCCCAAAGTCCTGGGATTACAAGAATGAGCCACTGCACCCGGCCGACATCTCTCTTCTTTCCATGGTGGGTCTACATTTAGGGATTTCCACAGTAAGGCTGCCTTTTGAAATGCATTTACTGCGAAACCATCAGCTGGTCCCAGTTACCCAATGGAAGGAGGGTGGGAAGGGTTTGGTTGTCATTGCAGGAGTTATGTTGGCTCCTGAGGGGCAGCAGTTAGTGAAGGAGATGACCCTGGAGCCCAGACATTTAAAAACAGGGGCTTTAGCATCAGTTGCCTAAAGATAACTTAACCCCTTGGGCGGTCGATTATTTCTGTGAGCAGAGAAGGTTTCTGTTCACAGGAAGCACGATGACAATAGTAAATTCATGCACACGTGTGAGGAAGATATCAGAGAGAAACATTGAATTAATGTAGCGTGACGGGGGTGGCCAGGTGGTCCGGAAAGGCATCTCGCAGGGTCACACTTTAGCTAAGACCTGATTTCGAAGGAGTCACATTAAGAACAGAGGAAGTGCATCCCAAGTGGCGGGAGCAGACAGTGCGGAGACCCCTGCTCTCTTTTCCACAAAGCCTGGTGCGATCCGCGAGCAGAAGGAAAGCTGCCGCGACAAGCAGGGGCGATGAAGCAGGTCGAATCCTGCCCCACCCTCTGCTTCTGTGCCCCTTGCCAGGGTTAACATTGTGTCTCTTCTTCTCTCACAGACGACTTCGCAGAGGAGGAGGAGGTGCAATCCTTCGGTTACAAGCGGTTTGGTGAGTCCTAACAAAGCTGTGTTCCTTCTCAGTGGTCAACCTGGGATGCAGCCACAGGCGCTCAGAGGCCATTGGCAGGCCACTGGCAGGCCCTTCATGCACATGGGTGTTTGCGGCTCTGAGGTCCAATTTTGCAATTTTGGTTGGAAAGTGCGTGTCTGTGTCCCTGGGGAGGGTTTCTCACGGTTCTGAGGGGCCATGGGACAGGAGCTGCACCCAGGTGTGGGGAAGTGATCGGATGTTTATGAGTCTGCTGAATGTAAAAGAGACCGCCTGCTAGACGAAGTGTGGTGGGAAAGGCAAATCTGTGACAAGACAGGGGCAAAATACCTGGAATTTTTCGATTTTGATATTCAGAAAACATCTTTGCTCAGGCCTTACACTCCTAACCTGGTGTTCATGGATGAGTGAGAGCGAGGCTTCTTCCAGGAATCCGCCTGGACACAGGTGCTCTGTGGCTGGGGAATAGCCCCCAAAGGTGACAGCACCCTGAATCCTGAAACCTGAATGTTACCTTATGTGGCACAAAGGACTTTGCAGGTGTGATTAAGTTGAAGAGCTTGAGATGGGGAGGCGATCCTGGGTTACCTGGGTCGGCCCTGAAAGCCATCGCAAGGGTGCTTATAAGAGAGAGGCAGAGGGAGATGTGACTGCAGAAAGAAGGTGGTGTGAGGATGGAAGCAGAGATTTTTGTTATGTGCTCTGGTCAAGGGATATAGGTGGTCATTAGAAGCTAAAAATGCAAGGGCATTAATGGATTCTTCCTTCAGAGCCTCGGGAGGGAGAGCTGTGCTTCCTATATTTCTGTTTCAGCTGGCTGAAGGTGATTTTAGGCTTCTGGCCCCCAGAACTGTAAGAGGAGAAATCTGTATTGTTTAGACCAACATGTTCATGGTAATCTGTTACAGCAGCCGCAGGAAACTCATACACGCCCTCTGCCTCCCAGGCTGCTGCACCGGGTGCTCTTCTCTGCTTTCACCTTGCTTCTCTTTGACCTTGAAATGCCAGTGGTCATTGCAGAGTTTCAAAGGCAGCTGCAGGGATTGGAGGATTATCCCAACAGCTTGTTTCTGTGCTTGGCCAGAGGAAATGGAGAAGAATAGAGGAGAAAAGAGTGTGTGTGATTGGGAGTGTGTGTGTATGTGTATGTGTATGCATGTGTGTGTGTGTGTGAGAGAGAGAGAGAGAGAGAGAGAGACAGAGAGTGAATGAATTTACTTCCTGTTGCTTAAAAAAAATCCTGGCTGGACTTTGATTAAAATGAACAACCCCCAGCTGCTCTGGCTCCCGCGTTGCTCCAGCATTTTTCCTTCTGGACACACACATCTGCATTACTTTCTGGGAAAACATACGACTTTAAAATAGGAATGCAGAGGCACCAAGCTCATCTCTCCTGCATTGGTTCCCGGCAGAGTGGCCGCATGCAGCCCCGTCGCGCGTCCTCTGTGCTCCTGTTCCTCATCTACACGATTCCATGTTTCTGCGATGGGACCTTGGCCCTGTGTTCTCCTTTCCCAGGGGGGCACTCACTGAAGGCAGCAGTAGGAGTGAAGATGAAACCAAGAATTATAAAGGAGAACAAAACAAACAAAAAAATCACGGAAAGACAGGAATCAGGAGGAAAACCAAACTTGTCAAAATAAATGTGGAGATGCCTACACATTTTGGAACTCAGTAGAAATATGAAGAACCAAGAGAGAAAGTCTCTTTAGCAAGGGTGACCTTGAGAAAAATTTTTTTATAAATTTATCAGCCATCTTACCAGTTAGATGGGTGGGGATTAGATGAAAAACACACAAAAAAGCACATTGCTGACAGGTTTTAATTTATGGTGCTTAAGTTATGCATGGGAGTTGCAACAGATGACTCACAGGAGGCATGATAACCACTTACAAATATTAGCACAAACAGAGGCTGGAAGAGAATGATGCCATGCGGTACAAATAGAAGAGAGAGATGAAATTAAAGTGGGAAACCTTGGAATAGTCTATGAAAGAGACATTCCTGATGCTGAGAATTCTTGGATTCAGCCTCTAGGCAAGGTGATGGATATCCAGCATAGGGCCAGAGTAGATCTTTGCAGATGAGTCTTTGAGATGTTTATTTTATTTTATTATTTTAGTTTTGAGACAGGGTCTTGCTCTGTCACTCAGGCTAGAGCGCAGTGGTGTAATCATAGCTCACTGTAACCTTGAATTCCTGGGCTCAAGCAATCCTCCTGCCTCAGCCTCTATGTGCCACTATGTCCAGTTAATTTTTAAATTTTTTGTAGAGACAGTGTCTTACTATCTTGCCCCAGCTGGTCTTGAACTCCTGGGCTTAAGCAATCCTCCAGTCTGAGCCTCCCAAAATGCTGAGATTACAGGTGTGAGCCACTACACCCAACTGAAATGATTTAACTCTGCCTTTATTTTCACCAGTAAGGGAGCTGAGGCCCAGATAGATTAAGTCCTTGCTGAAGCAAATTAGTTGGAGCTGGGGTTAGAAGATTCTGGATCTTCTAACTCTCAGGAGAATGTCGTTTTGGGGAAGGGCTCAGCAGTGAGGTGAAGTGGAGGTGACCTTTCAACTTGTGTGTTGTGGAGGGGACCCTGCAGCTCTGCAATCCTAAAGTCGACTGGACACCCAATCTGGTTCCACTGGGGAGGCCTCATCATGGTTATAGGGCTAGGACTCTGATTCTTTAGAAGGTAAATGGGTTTTCGATTCCTAAGAAGTGGCCAATTGAATCCAGCAGAACCCAAGAGCCCATTTCTTCAGGCATGTTTAAACTTTAACCATTAAAGGAAGATCAAGTCCCTTCCATGCAGCAGGTTGATAGTACGATGGTAGGTGGAAGGTGTCCAGAGACATGTCAACGCTCTAGGCCCTGCCCCTAATCACTCCTGTGTCTTGAAACCAGCTACTTAAACGCGGTGGGTCTCAGATGCTGCCTTTGCCCAACCAGCAGAGTGACACCTGCCAAGGTAGGTGAATCTACCTTTCAGGGCTTTGGTGAGGTTAAGAGAGACATCAGACGGACAAGTGCTTTGAAATTACAACACTATAATAACACAAGACTGTATTATCACTCTCCTGAGATTTGGGGCTATTCGCACTCTCTCAACATTTTGGTACAGCCAATGCATAATATCAAAGCGTGACAGAACTGAAAACTTATTCCTGAAGAAATGTAAAGGTGTGATTTTCTTCTAAAGACAGTAACATTGTAGCCTTTTATAGTTGCAAAAATAGACTGGATAACATAGAGGGTTCAGTTATTGTTTAATTTTAGGTATATGTTGCTTATGCAAGTATGATAAACACAACCCGAAATTAAGACTACAGATGAGCCAGAGGTCGGTTATTCACAGGGCAAAGAAAGGGTCATTGTTTTAGCAAATCACTACTGAGTGGGCCTGTTTCCAAAGTGAATTCATATACAGTTATTATTCAGAGGTGTTTGCTACATAAATTCAAGGCTGTTTACATAATAATATTCTGCTTTTTCAAATTTAGCATATTATTACAGTAAAGAGCAAAACGCACGATCTTCTCCAGTGATCTGGCATGGTATTCTATTTGGTGCAGTCATCCCTTGTTTACTCAGGGATTCATTATTGCATTTTAGTCTCAGCCAGGTCTTCTGTTTTTCTTCAGTCTTTCCATATACCAAGCTTGTTCAGCCCCATTCCCAAAGTTCTGGGCAGGTGTCTAAAGAGGAGATGGAGTTTGGTCTGATGGTTTTGCCACTTCTTTGCTCCTCTAACAAAAGCGTCAATGAGGGGAGACTTTGAAGGGTTAATTACGTGAGCATTTTCAAGCTTTACTCAGGCTTTGAGGGTCAGCATTTCTTGGCCTCAGTATGCAGAGCTAATTGGGACGTAACTATAGTTACAATTTGGCAGAATTCCTTTTTTGGGACATGAGGTACCAGTATATTAATTTTTATTTTCCATAGATATGATATATACTACCACGAAAGTGACATTTTTCTACTTATTTCCCAGTTACTGTTTTCATTCAAAGCCTCACACATGGCTCTAGAATCCTTTATTATTATGCTTAGCAGAAAGGGAAAGAGAGGCAGCACCACCCCCATGGCCTGAGCCCTCCCTCTGGAACCTGCATTCTCCATTTCTGCGCTGGGGGGCGCTAGACTTACTTTGTTTGATTGGTCACAATGGGTTCTCTTCTGTTATTTTTGGAATCTGATCGGGTATGATAATAGACGTCCAAAGTTAGGATGATGGAGGAGCAAGAGATACATGGTTCAGCCTGTGAAAATCACGGGTGGAGTTAAGGGTTTCCAGTGAGCAACTGTGGGCAGCTGGGAACATTTGTTGTTTGTATTTGGCAAACAAAACTTTGAGAGAATTGCTTCTTTGGGGCTCAGGGATAGGAATTATTAATAGCTATGAGAGAAAAAGATCTGAAAAATGGCAAACTGTGAAACAGTAACAAAAAGTAAAAGGAAGCATTTTCTATGGAGTAGAATTCAAGTTTTTTTGTGAAAACTAAGTGGGAGAGTTCTAAGGGGATTGCTGAAAAATTATTTAGGGGTTACAGTCCAAAACAGGGTATCAGATGCCTTTTCCTTTGCGATCAGTGTGTTCTTTGAAGCAAGTTCTTGAATAGTTTTGTTTATCCACAACTTCACAGGCCTCTCTATAGCTGTAGCTTCAAACAAGCCAGGCTTTAACTTTCCCCTTTCTTTCCTCGAAAAATAGTTGCAGATTAGCAAGTGTATTTTTAACAGTTTGGCCCACACGGTGCCGGGCATGTTGAAGCAGCCTGATAAATCTGTGTTGAAGAGAACTCAGCCCTGCCCCTCAGTGCCCCTGCCTCATGCCTTACCGTCACCTTCCCCTCCTTCTAAACCCAGCCTCCAAAGAGATAAACATATGGAACTTCAAATTCATGACTCTAGTTAAATTATTGAGCTGTTTCTTGCCAAGAGGTTTAGAGAAACTAATGTCTAAAAGCAAAGAGGACTACTGAGGCTTCTGAAAAATCACAGC